TGGGTATATGTGTAAGGAGGCCATATCGGTGGACTGAACTGCAGAATGCCAGAATAAGAAGGGGATAGCTAATCCTGTCGAAGACTACGCTTCTGGTAGCCTCCGTCTTGCAGCATGTAGAAGAGAGTAGATTGAAGTCCTCCAAATAGTATCTCCAAGTAGCATCTCCAGGTAGCATCTCCAGTCGCATCGCATAGCATAATCCTACCCGGCGATCCTCTCCTCGTCGCCCTGCGGAAAAGCGATCACCGGGTTGTCTGCGGAACTTGGAAGGGTGTGTTTTATTAAGTATCCGGTTCTAGTTGTCATAAGGTCAAGGTACAACTCCAAGTCGTCCTGTTACCGAAGATCACGGCTATTCGAATAGATTAACTTCCCTGCAGGGGTGCACCACATAGCCCAACACGCTCGATCCCATTTGGCCGGACACACTTTCCTGGGTCATGCCCGGCCTCGGAAGATCAACACGTCGCAGCCCCACCTAGGCTCAACAGAGAGGCCAACACGCCGGTCTAAACCTAAGCGCGCAGGGGTCTGGGCCCATCGCCCTGAGCACACCTGCACGTTGCGTACGCGGCCGGTGAGCAGACCTAGCAACCTCCATTACAAAGGAAGTTGCGTTAACGCAGTCCAACCCGGCGCGCGCCGCTCCGTCGCTGACGTCTGAAGTGCTTCGGCTGATACCACGATGTCGGGATACCCATAACTACTCCCACGTAGATGGTTAGTGCGTATAGGCTCGTAGCCAGACTCAGATCAAATACCAAGATCTCGTTAAGCGTGTTAAGTATCCGCGAACGCCGAACAAGGCCAGGCCCACCTGTCTCCTAGGTGGTCTCAACCTGCCCTGCCGCTCCGCCACAAAGTAACAGTCGGGGGCCGTCGGGAACCCAGGCCCACCACTACCTGGATGGAGCCACCTGCCCCTTCAGCCCCCAACTCCGAATAGTATCACAGGTAATGTAACAGTGTAAAGTATATAGTATATGCCCGTGATCACCTCCCGAAGTGATCACAGCCCAGTAGTATAGCATGGCAGACTGACAAGAATGTAGGGCCAATGATGATAAACTAGCATCCTATACTAAGCATTTAGGATTGCAGGTAAGGTATCAACAGATGTAGCGACAATGTCAGGCTATGCATCGGAATAGGATTAATGAAAGCAGTAACATGCTACACTAATCTAATGCAAGCAGTATAGAGTAGAATAGGCGATATCTGGTGATCAAGGGGGGGGGGCTTGCCTGGTTGCTCAGACAAGGAGGGGTCGTCGATGACGTAGTCGTACTCGGTGGCATCCGCGTCGGTCTCGTAGTCTACCGGAGAGAAGAGGGGGAAGAAATAATGAATACAGAGCAAATAAAGCATCACAAAATATAACAAGGCAATACACGGTGTTCGGTGTGCCCTAACGCGGTAGTAGGTGATACCGGTGAAGGGGGGAATCATCCGGGAAAGTATTCCCGGTGTTTCGTGTTTTCGGGCAGAGGAGCCGGAGGGGGAAAGTTGCGGGTTCGATAGGTTAGGGGGGTGTGGCGGACGAACGGACTGCGTATCCGGAATCGTCTCGTCGTTCTGAGCAACTTTCGTGTTGAAAATATTTTAATCCGAGTTACGGATTAAAAGATATGATTTTCTAAAGATTATATTAATTTCTGGAATTTAATTAATTAATTAATTAATTTGAAAATGAATTTATGACGTCAGCATGATGTCATGCTGACGTCAGCAGTCAACAGGATTGACTTGGTCAACCCTGACATGTGGGTCCCGTTCGTCATACTCAGTTAACTAATTATCTTAGTTAAGTTTAATTAATAGTAGTTAATTAGGTTAATTAGTCATTAGGTTTAATTTATCAGGATTAATTAAATTAATTATTTACTTAATTAATTAATCATTTTTATTTATTATTATATATATTTTTTTAAGTCTTTTTTTTATTCCTTTTTTTTAAAACGTTTTAGGGGACGACCCCACTTGTCATAGGCCCCTGGGGGCCTTAGCGGGTTCGATGTTAGCGGGCGCCTGGAGCGGGCGCTGGGCACCCACCCAGGTCGATAGGGAGGGAACGACGCTCGGTGCCGGCGGCCACAGTGAGGAGCGACAGCAGCGGCACAGGGGGCCAAGGCTGCGCGTCGACGGGCCGCGCCGCGGGACGAAAACGGCAGCGGGTGGCGTGCGTTCGCGCACACGGCGGGGAGCAGCAGCACGCAGAGCATCACCGGCGGGCGCGGTCATGGGTGCATACAGGGGCGTCGGGGCGCACGCGGCAGGGTAACGGTGACGCGGGCTGGGCGCGGTCACGGTCGCGGTGACTGAGCCCACTGGCCGGAGACCGGACGACGCGTATGGCGGCCTACAGCGGTGAATCGAGGAGGGGGAGAGGGGGAGTAGCCACGGGAGCTCACCCTGGAGCTGTTGGCGTGCTCAGACGCGTCGGGGGGGCAACCAGAGTGTGCAGATCGAGCGGCGATGCAGGTGACGTGGTCGGAGGGGATGGATCGAGGGAGCCGGCTCCGGAGCGCTCCGGCTTGACTTGGTCCACGCCGACGACGTAGACGAGGTGGGGTGGCGCCTGGACTTGAGGGGACGGTGGGGCTTGTTGGCGCCCGGCGAGGAAGAGGCCGAGGACGCGAGGTCCGGCGAGGAGGCGTCGAAGAGGAGGACGGCAGGGCCGCTCCGCGAGGCAGCTCCGACGATGGCGGGGTCCAGCGGCGTCGAGGTCGTGCCGGGGCTCGGGGAAGACGAGCGCGATGCCGGAGGGTGAGGAAGAAGGTCGGGAGGGGGCGGCGAGGACGAGGCGTTCGGGGCCGGGCGGCACCGGTGAGGTGG